CCGGGCCCCTTCGGGCCCCTGAAACCCCCCCCGGGGAGCACAGTGCTCTGCCAGTAGCCGCCCCGCTCCGCCGAGAGGCATCTCCTGATGGCAGCCACGGCAGGGCGGGTTGACCGCCCGCGGGATGTCAGAACTGTCATTGCTCACTGGTCCACTGGCCCAGCCACCCCCGGTTTGCGCTGGGTCCCTGGGACTGTCCGACTTCTCTGCTAGGACGTACTGGGGCAGCGGGGACCATGGGGGCTTTGTCGTTGCCCCCGTTTCCATCCGCTGCTCCCTGGTGTGCATCAGTTTCTGGCCACTGGTCCACTGGCCCAGCCACCCCCGGTTTGCGCTGGGTCCCTGGGACTGTCCGACTTCTCTGCTAGGACGTACTGGGGCAGCGGGGACCATGGGGGCTTTGTCGTTGCCCCCGTTTCCATCCGCTGCTCCCTGGTGTGCATCAGTTTCTGGCCCACGTGGTAAGAGGCCTGCTGAAGAGGAGACAGCTGGGCAAAAGGATACGATACAGGGACTTTTGGCCCATCTCAAGCCATTTTAATGGGAACGGAAATCAGATTTGCAGGAGCTTCCACATCATGTTTTGTGCCTGCCTCGACGTCCTTTTCCGGCCTGGGGAGGTGTCTGACCCTTGTTGTTTTGTGTTTCTTTGGAGACTTGACCATCGGAACTATCTCTTGGACTCGCCCCATAAATACAGCGTGACTGACCTGCGACAGGTGAGAGCTCTGCTGTGGGCGGGGGTCCTCTGTGGGCTGTGTCAGGATGCAGTTTAGTTACAGGCATTTTTAGTAATAGGGTTGCCAGATGGTTTAACCAAAAAGACCGAACCCGCCCCCCCAACCATCAAAAAAAAACCCACCAAGGGGGGAAAAAAGAAAAGGACCCCAAGAGTTAAGAAAAAAAATGTAAACAGCGTGGCCCCTTTAAGAAATGCTTTTGAGGCTTTCTGGCCTTAACAAGCTGCTGGTGGCCGCCCGCCATCTTGTCTCCCTGCACCGGGCCAGACACCTCCCCTGTGGAACCAGGGAAGCCCCCGGGATTTTCGCCTGCTGGCTGGGAAATATCCGAAAGTGCCAGCCAGGCATGTCAGGTGTCGGGTATTTTCTGAAATTTTTTACCGGCCAGGAGGCGAAACTCCCGGACCGTCCAGGTCAGTACCGGACACCTAGCAACACTGTCCTGGCCCAGGGCCACCTCGGCTGCACGGGGGGCTGGGACACGCTGACCCAGAAGCTGCCCAAGTCCCGGAGCTCCACCAGCCTGCGCCCTCCTCCCCGCGGGGTGATCCCGCTCCCTGCGCGCTCCTGGGCCTCTTCCTGCCGGGCCGCTCCACTCCCCTCCCAGGGACTCCACGGGCCCTGCTGTCACCGGTGTCCCCTGCGCAGTGACCAGACGGGGACCCTGGAACTAGCAGCCGAGGCCTGTGTCATGCTGCTTCCCTGGCTGCTTCTGCGGGTTCCCAGCTGCTTAGCACGGCAGCCCCCTGGCTCCACACTGCCCCTGCCTGGGCCTCTTCCTGCCGGGCCGCTCCACTCCCCTCCCAGGGACTCCACGGGCCCTGCTGTCACCGGTGTCCCCTGCGCAGTGACCAGACGGGGACCCTGGAACTAGCAGCCGAGGCCTGTGTCATGCTGCTTCCCTGGCTGCTTCTGCGGGTTCCCAGCTGCTTAGCACGGCAGCCCCCTGGCTCCACACTGCCCCTGCCTGGCCCACTTCCTGCCGGGCCGCTCCACTCCCCTCCCAGGGACTCCACGGGCCCTGCTGTCACCGGTGTCCCCTGCGCAGTGACCAGACGGGGACCCTGGAACTAGCAGCCGAGGCCTGTGTCATGCTGCTTCCCTGGCTGCTTCTGCGGGTTCCCAGCTGCTTAGCACGGCAGCCCCCTGGCTCCACACTGCCCCTGCCTGGCCCACGCAGCCGAGCCAGCTCCCCCTGCCCGGCCACCTTAACCCCTTCCAAGACA